CGCCAGAAACAAATTCCACTGAAATTTTGCATTACCTGCACCTTATATTGAAACACAATTCTTTTCTCATGCGTCGACAATATATAAATATACGTGCTTTGTGTTTAACGGGAAATTTTCTAACTATCCGTTCTTGCAGATAAACTGCCTTGTGTTCTTTGAGCACGCTTCAACTTATCAAACTTAAATTTTGTAACGATTGAACCCGTATGGTGTTTTTGCATTGATGTTTTGGGAGGCATAATTGAATCAAGTGAATTATTGATAGTTATAAGAAGACGAAGAAGAAAAGAACGTTACAAATGTATGGTANGCTTTATAGTCTCTCGGTATTATATTTTATACTACACTCACATATGAAAGATGTCTAATAGAAGAAATCTATTTACGTCTGTTAAAAAGATATATGTGTCTCTTCGATCAGCTGGAGAAAACACAAGACACTACTAGGAACATTAGAGAGGGGGAATAAAGAAGAAGGAGAAGAACATTCAGTTCTCATATAATTAAATTTATCATTTTCTTACAAATTAAAAATTAAATTTCTTGATATCCTGATTGAGATATAGATTTTCTTGATATTCCAATCGGAATATCGAATTATATCCTGATCGGGATATAATTTCAAACTATATCCCGTTCGGGGTATAGAAAAAATTTTGCTGCAAAACATGATATCTCAATCGGGATGTCTCCACACTGCCAGACTCTGCTGGTATTTGGTCTCTCGAAAGTGTTTCAATAACATGCAGGTCAAGGTCCATGGCTGCACGCTCGAAAAGATGAATTTCTGTTCATTTTTCAACCTTGTCCAACTGCTATTAAGAAAGCGTCGTCGTTCTTACTATTAAAATCCTAACAGATTTGTACCCAATTTCGAAAAACCTTAGACCGTATAATCTTAGTAAGATCTTACTAAGCTCTTAGCAAAATCTTATCAGACCTTAAAATTTTCGGGTCTCACAGTATCGTTATCCTACCTTTCGTATCCTTCTCTCTTTACGCAGTAAGTTTTGCTTGTCTTCTCGGAGTTGTTATTTGTTTTCTTGATTGTAAGAGATAATATGAATTAATACCGAGAGACTATAAAGCGTTTTATTTAAGAATAACGTTTTTTAGTACCTTTTATACTGGAGGTCTGGTTGGCGGATTTCACGGGCTATCCAATAGCGTTCTTTTGAAAAAAATATAGTTTTTCATTATAACATAAAAAATGACTAAAGGGGTGTTTTATAGGCGTTTTTGTTACTCCAACGTTTCTTTTGTATGTCTTTGGTGAGTGATCTCATTAGTCAGCATATCTTGACCAGCTCAGTTTCTAGAGGCTTTCAAGAGCTATCGAATAGTATATTTTCGCTTTTTGCATGTCTTTTGTGACCGGCCTTACCAGTATCAAGATATTCTGATTGTTTTAAGAGTGCCGATTGGGATGATATTGTCGGGAAAAAAAATGTGATTTTCTGGAACCAAAGCATTCGATTTTATCTGGAATCGAATAGGAATGCATTTTTACTACATACGGGACTATTTTTGCTCCAAAAAGAGAGTGGACTAATCGCTGACCTTCCGCTGGCTCCTCCTTTCCGATGATGACAAGTTTTGACGGTTACGTGGAAATATCAAGGGGAAATTGTGAACTTTAGACTTAAGCGGACTTGATCAGACTTATGGAGACTTTACCGAACTTTAAATCAGTCCAATCAGGTCGGCGGACTTTGGAGACTTTAAAAGATCTGAGAGGACTTTAAAGTCCGCGATTTCCCCCTGGGAAATATACATTTCTTACAGCCAAGTCTCATGCGATAAAGATGAAAAAATGCTCATATGAATCCAAAAAACAATTGTATAAATATTTGTTCTTACATGAGTATGTAGTGAAAAAGTTATGATAGGAAGTGTTCTTTGAGCGTAAGAATGAATGAAAAAGAAAAACTGTGGATTAGAAAAACAACTGAGAAAAATATGGATAGAAAATTGCAACTCAGTGTCCTTGATCAATATGTTTGATCGATTCGCGAAAAATATCATTGTAAAGGATAGAAATTCCTCTCACTGACTCTTACTTTCGTCAAAATCGCACTTCAAACATATTCATACAATTTTGCATAAATAACATTGCTTCTCGGTTCCAAGACAAAATTCTTGGATACTCTGCAGAGGTTCTGAAGCACTATGCTAATATATGCACTTTAGATAATAAAAGTCTCTGCAAGGTAACTAGCTATTAAAATTCTTAGAAACAACAACTAGTAGCTGAAAAAGGCATTCCCCCCACTCACCCTCACTGGAAAAAAAGAATCCTTTCTAATTTAAAGTCGCATCTCTTGTAATTCTTCTACCGTAACTCGGAACAGCTGAGAACCATCACATTTTGTTCAGGTTTTCTGCGCTGTTTGACTGATATGTACTTCAAAGTGATGAAACAAACAAGATATAGATTAGAGGAACTGTGGCTTTCAAGAAAAATTCTTCACTCCATTTTTAGCATATTATGGACTTCTTTAACTATTTTCAGTTCTATCCCAGATCGGTTCTTAAATTATTAGAACAGTATAGTGATGTGTTTCCGGATGGTGTACATATTTATGGCGTTGCTTAATGTTATTCAAAAAAGATTTAATGCTGAACTGATTCCGATGAATTCTAGTGGCGGAAAAATTAAAACGATCGGTTATATATTGTTGTTCCCGTTGCTTTTACAGTTGCTATTGCCTAGACAAAGTACGTATATTTCCATTTTTTTCTTTTCTTTCTTTGGCTTGGCTTTGACTGTATCAAATCATCGAGGCTTGACGATGTATTTAATATCGGATTTTTGCGTTATTTTATCAAATCCAAAAGTAACAAAACGAGTAAGTTTTTATCGTGTAATTGAATAAAGCAGAAGGTCACTTGAAATAACAACAGAGATTAACATGTTTCTGGAAAAAACAGAATGTGCTGACAAGAGAACATCGGCAAAGTTATATTTTAGTCGTTGGATAGTTTGTATGACTGAACTGAAGGAAAGTCGATTGGTCAGATAGAATAAACTACAAGAAAAGGTAGATAAACTATAGCAACTAGAAAAGTGTGCCAAAGGTTTGAAGTGCTTTCGCAGTCGACACGTAATGATGAAAAGACAAACATCTATTTTCTTGGATAACTTTTGAAAAGTAGATGCTCGTCTTTCATCAAATTCAGAAGAATTTTATTAACGTATTTTTCATAGCAGTATTATACTTTATATGAATAAAAGAATGTTTAGACTGCAAGAACATCTTAAAATCGTGGACACACTTTTCTATTTAGTTTGAGACGTTTCAGAGCACTGCGCATCTTGCCGTTCTAAAATTATTATAGAAACAAAGTTCGAAAACGTCTTTACGGAATTTTACTCCGACAGTAGAGTTAGCTGTAGGAATGGCTCATTACCATTACTGTTACCAGTAATCAGTAATAGAAGTATTACTTGTTACCAGTAATTAGTAACAACAGATACTATTTTGTTAATTTGTTACTTTACTTGATAAAGTAACATCGAGTAATAAGTAATGAGCCACTCCTAGTTAACTAGTCAATTGATAAGCTGAACTATGAATAATGACCTAGCTTATGCAGTATGGTGAATGATAAAATAATGAAAAACCGTGGCTATCTTGAAAGACTCTGCCACTTTTCCATTTTAAATGTTAGGTTTAACCTTACGCGGAATGGCTGTTAAGTAATCTTTCGTAGTCAAAATTTTAATAATACTTTGGCAAGTACAGTTTATCCATTATCTCCGTTATATATTCTCTGCGACCGTACCGATTTGTTCAGATTAGATTAATGACAGGTCTCGCAAGAGGCTATAGCAGACAAGCCTAGCAGCTAGCGCAACTGTGCTAGCTGCTGGGCTTGCTGCTTCCTGCTTAAGCATATGCTTTTTGTCGATGTTGCTCCAGAAAAACAGCCCCGATAAAATTATATTACTGTGTAGGCCTAAAGAAGTATTTGAAGATAAAACAATTGATTGCTTTGATTTCACTTTTCTGAAAAGAATGGAGTGGACAATAGACAAAAACGAACAACAGTTGCAACAACTGGATGGACGTCAAGAAGAGCGACATGTGTTGTTTGAAACATCTGAAAGTGGTGATACCGAAGAAATGGTTAGAATTCACGAAGTACCTATTATTCTATTAAATTCGTAGCTGCATTTCACAGATACTATTTTCAATTTAGACTCACGTTACCAAAACAATTGACGAATTACCAAGCACTGGCAGCAAAAGAGTCGAACTTCTGCACATTACAGAGAAAGAAAATAAACGGCGTTTGTCACTTTTCATTATTAGTAGTGTCATTATGTTCGCATTAGCGATTTTAATCGGTTACATTGATTATGAGAAACCACTGTTTAGTTCCGTAGATAAATCATTAAAAATGCGTACATCACCAAGAATCTTATCAAAAAACGATGAGGTGCCACCAAAAAAACAAAGGCAACGTAATCGGAAAGCAAAAACTGTAAAACACTCGAATACTATCGGTATGATCAGTCCATCGAAACAGGACAATAACACGCGTCTATTAGACTTTGAAATGGCTAGAACGAATTCACACAAAAAACTCTATGAGATAGATAAATTAATACGTATTCTGTCTTCACGGTCGAATTATTTGGATTCGCTTACAGCGGACATTCATAAAAGACAAATGAGACGGTGCCTGACTGTTGATCGAACTTATCGCATCGCCGATACACTCAATCTTCGACTTGTGATGATACCGAAAAAGCGATTACGGAAAAAACAAAAACAAAATAAGTATCGTTTGTCAGCAGTTGTTCGAAAGAACAAATAGCATGCGTCTTTTCTCTCTACTTTAGGTATAATTAAATTGATTGACTGATACACAATAAGTTTTTTCATCCATCTTGAATTTGTAGTTTTAGCTGTTATTTTTCATTCTCGCTAATATAATGATGCTTTTTACCGCTGTATTATCTATAGTAGCGTTTCATTTCCTTTGACGAATGTAGTAAAATTTCAAGAAGTAGTTGAATAAATGCTTTTAAAGATACTTGTAAATACACGGCATGCTAAAAAAGTGCCTCCGTTTTACTTGTGTTATGTCTTTTCAATGAACATGACGCTCTTTCATGCCCCCGAGAAGTAACGCAGATGATGGCTGCTTATCCAAGAATGACGACCAGTAACATTTATTAACCCAATTAGAAGGAGATAAGTATTTGCGCGTATCTATAAGAGAAGAATCCAGCAACTATGGCCTTTGATTATTGCATCAGGCCACTAGACCTGCTTAAAACAATGCTGTCACATGCTTCGAAAGATGTTTAGCGAATTCAGCAGTCCTTTCAAAATAACAATGGAACTGCGATTTAATTCTTGATGCAAACATTCTAACGTCTGGATTACATTATAACATTAATATTTGCTTTTTTTTGCAAGTTATTTAGATTGGGTATCTCGCTAAGTACTTCTGCTACTCGGCGTGTACTTAAGAGATCTTTCGCAAGCTGATCCCGCATGTGTCCATAACGCCATAATGTGGGTAAAAAGATGTTATTCTTCTATGTACTCATTCGATCTGCTACGTTGAAAATTGAGACTATGAAAATAATTTTGGTCCTAGCGCCTTAACCCCCTTCCCATAACAGAAGACCATCCCTAGTAGAAGTCCACTACCGATTTTATGACTTGAAAGCCAAATAGGGTCTTCTAACTCCCAGAAGATCACTGGTCTTCCATTATGTCCGCGAAAAAAATCCGAAAATGCCCTATAACTACCTATAGGGGAATTTTCAAAAAAATTTCGCCAAAACGTACTTCTAATAGGAGACGGACTTTAAGTACGTGAGGCTACCGTTGGACTACTAGCAGGCGACAAAATTTGACCGCAATAGAAGGCCACTCTTTAGAACTTGACTTGCGGGACAAAATAGACGACCAGGTGGTCTTCTGTTATGGCGGGGTGGGGGCGGCTATAGCTTAGGAGCTACAGAATTTTTAATGTAAGGACTTTCGATGCTTCGGAAAAAAGCGCCATCTATAGTATTTCAGATTTCTGAAGCCAAATTAAATCTAATATTTTTGCGAAGCATCTTATTCGAGAGAGTGTCGGAAACTGAACGAAATGGTTCATTTGAATGTTGTGGAATGTTTGATGTTGAGGGCAAAAAAGCGCTTTTCTAAAATTTGTAGACTTTCCAACACGTCAATTTTTCAGGTGATTGCCACTTTCTAAAGGAAGGAAGAAATGTTGAAAATCCTCA